TCACTACTTATAAAGTCCTACATGGCATAGGACCTGGTCACTTGAGGGAACCTCCTGTGTCCCATAGTATCTGTCTGGCTGATCCAATCTGGCTATGTAGGCATGCTCTGGGTTCCTTCAGTTAAACAATGCCAACTGTCAGGACCCAGGAAGTGGGTCTTCTCTGCAGCAGTGCCTACCCTCTGGAATGAGGTTCCCCACAAGATTCAAACAGCCCCCACCCTACTGGCTCTGAAGACCTGGGTCTTTGCCCAGGCCTTTGGAGAGGATAGTTGAAGTCCCTTTGTTTTCTTTGTCCCCATCCAGTTTTGTCATTTCTGCCATCTTTATTCTTTTTTGTTAACTTGTTTTAAATGTTTTTAACAATTTGAGTTGCTGGGAGTTGGGTGGCATATAAATGTTGCTGTTGTTATTGGACGTCATAGCGATCAACAAGACTTCATTCTGAGAATAAACCATTCAAATTAAACAACTTTTGCTCATGTAACTACAAAGCAGCTTTGGGTGTTCCAAAACCAAGATTATGATGAGTTGATGGGATGTGTACTGTCGCCCTGCCGGTTCCTACAGACTTTTTTCTTTGCTGACAGGGAAGGCCTATAAGGGAGGGTGTAATTATATTTGGTGAATGCGGTTACAACTTTTCAAATTAGTACCGGAAACATCCAGGTTATTTTCTACATGAAGCAAAAAATCTCCTCCCCCCTCTGCACCTCCCTGAGAATAAAATTGCAACAATTATAAATTAAATAAGTAGCATTCTGTTTCCTTTTCAGGACACCTCTGTTGTCTCATTTTGCTTCATGGTAGGTAGGTCTGTCTGGCAGTTGGGCACAGAGAGAGTTTTCTAGCTTATCTCAGCTAGAAAAGGCAAAGCAGCAAATAAAGAAAATATGGGAGTGAAGGGAATTGAAAGTGAACTTTCTCCTCGCCAGACTGAGTCACAGATCCAACATCCATTTTTCTAGAAGTGTACCACTTGGCTTGTTGAGTTCCTTTGTGCTAAGACATAGCCAGAGCCATGGTTTCAGCTCTACAACACCGAACATATGTTTTGAAGAGTATTATCTACAGGTGGTTCTCATTTAATGACCACTCATTCAGCATCTTTCAAACTTACAACAGCGCTGAACCAGTAATAGTTACGACCAGTCCTCAGAGTTCCAGCTGTCACAGCATCCCCGCAGTCACATGATAGCAGTCTGGGTGCTTGGTGCCTGGCTTGTGATTACAATGTTGCAGTGAGCTGCAGTCATGTGATCATGACTTCCAACATTCCCTACTGGCTTTCCACACGCAATGTCAATGGAGAAGCCGGCAGGAAGTTGGAAATCGTAGTCACGTGAGGTCCTCACTTAATGATCCATACAGTCCTCGCTTAACAGCAACTGGGATGCTAAGCAGCGTGGTCATGTGATATTGTGGTTTACAACCACATCACTTAGCGATGGCAATTCCAGTCCCAATTGCCATTGTTAACCAAGGACTGCCTGTACTGAAAACAGAGTTTCTTACTGTTCCATAGACACAAATGGCCTGAAATAACCAGCCCTACTTGTTATAATATATTGTGTATGTTACTTGTGAGTAGAATTTAAAGAGTGGATACATCGAGCCCTCTCTGTGTATGAATGCATTCTACTCTTAATGTAACCTGCCAGCTATCAGTATGCCTATCTATGCATTGGGTTTGTCTTTGTATTTTATGTTTTTTGTGGCAATAAACACAACGCTATCTCTGCATGTCCTATTTCTATTTGCCATGGGATAATTAAAGAACAAATCCTTAGTCTTCTAAAACAGGCATTTGTAAATGAATACCCTGATAGAAAGAACAGTTCTGTATTTTAAATGTTCTAACTGTCATGAGTTTCAAGGATATTTTTAAGGTATGGTTTGATTAGCATAGAATACAGTTCGGACTACTAGTTTGCTTGGTCCCTCAGCTATCCAGTGAAGATTGCCCTAATGGTCGCAAGGCTGGTCTAGTAATCAATAACCTAACAATAGAAGTCACTCATGTTGATACACTGGTGAAATTAAACCTTGGTAGGATACAAACCTATTTTTACCTTGTGTGAGGCTTTGGATGAATCCAGATGAATGAGTATGCAACTGGCTCCTGATCCATAATACAACTCAGTATGCTTACTCCATCCTGCTACACTAACATCCTCAAAAAGGCCAACTGCTTTCATAAATGTCCATGAGGGGAGTCCCATGACTCTATTTGGACCCCATTAGGAAAATGTAAGAACTGACTTGGCAGATACATCCGTCAGAATGACAATTATCCATGTGACACTCTTCCCTGCCCTTCTGTTTGTTACGCCTACATAAACATCAGGATAGATCTAATCCAATTTCCCAGATGTTTATATGGCCACTGTGGTTGCACTCTTATATTAGAGAGCTATCTATACAAGTATAAATAAAAGATATGACTCTTCTACCCGTTTCTGAGCCAGCTGTCCGAATGCCTCTGGATGATTACTGATTGGCACAGAAAGTTGGCCTTGGCTTGAACCAGCAGGCTGTTCTTTCTCCTTCTGTCCTCTTTCCTATTCAGCTAAGAAGGGGAAACGACTTGAATCAGTGGGGAAAGTCAATGGAGAAAGAGGATCCTTGGGACTGAATGCATAGGCTGCGAATGCTTATTCACAAGTTTGTTCAATGGGACTCACTGTTGCATTCCTCTATATTTTATTTTTTTTCCAATCTCTTGTTGGGATATAATTGTACCTTCCCCCATAGTGGTGGGAAAAGGGCACCCTTTAAAATTCTGCTGCATCTATTTAGGGCTGGATGGTTAGTTGACTTTCCTGAGCAACAAGTGCTCCCAGATAAAAGGGTTAGAAAACAGGTTGTACTAGTTGGGGGGTGAGGGATCTTTTTGGTATTACCTGGAAGATGAATCATGCAAAGTTTTTTTTAAAAAAAATCATACTGCAGATTAAATCCATTAAGAGAAAGATCCATTCCTCAAAGTTGGGAGGATTTTGTATCTAGTCAGAGTACTTGTTTATTCTTTTCTCATGCAGCCTTTATCCTGGACTTTATTAAGTCCATTTTCCTTATAAATGACCACTGCAATTTATCATGTTCCTCAGTTATGAATAACATGCTTCTTCCATTAGTTAGCATGACAAAAAACGAAACAAAATAATGCTGGTAACACAATAAAGCATGTTATAGCAAGCCAGGTGGTTATCAGCAGGAGACCCTAATGGGAAGGTATTTTATTTATGTCCTTAGCTTGTCAAATCAGTTCTAACAAAGCTGAAGGCTTTGGGCATAGGTGTGCCTCTGTGTATATTTGTTTGGATGTGTTGCGTACGTGTGTGTAAACCGTTCCGCTGCTGGAATCTCAAGAAGCAGGTTCAGAGGAATGGGAACTACTGGTGACTAGGACACAAGGTAAAGTGCATCAAATTATGCTCTGCTGATGGGCCATTAAGAAAGTGATGCTGGGTTGTGTAGGATACAATTACTGTGCTGTGCAGCTGTTCAGATTAGAGGAGCCTTGCTTTGCATACATTGAGAAACAAACAGGTACCGTCTCGCCTTGTACAACATCAAGCAATGAGGTAAATATGCAGCTGCTGAATCAGAAGAAAAGCCAAGGTACCAGACGACCTAATTTGGATGGGATCAGCATTGTTTATTTGTGTTCCAAGAATGTTTCAGTTGTTTGGCAGCTTTCTGGTCTCTGCTTTCAACAGTCCCCAAAGAGGAGTGAACAGCAAGTGAGATGGGTTACATAAACAAGCCATAATGGAGAACTAGGCAAATTCCATATATCTCATCCTTTAAACATGTGTACAAGCCTATAACAAAATCTGAGGCAACATTCCTCCTGCTAATTAGTGTTTCCACCATTTGGTACAGAAACGACATCGCTATGAGGAACTCAGGAAAAGTAATCAGCAGCACAATTAAGCAATCTACTATAATGATAGAACACAACATTAGTGCTGAGTAATCAGAAACATGTTTACTTTGTTTCCATGATTTTGTTTTAAAGTACCAAATAGCCAATTATTTTCTTTGGCAGGTTTAGAACTGAAATGACCTCTGGTTTTAAAACACAGTTCTTTGTAACAACATTGTTTTATTTTACCGAGTGTAGCAAAATTAAACATTAACATTTATTTCATTAAAAAAAAAAAACAGTTCTAGACTTTAGGCTTTGATTAAGCATCCAGATATCAGTTTCTCCCCCATATGAGTTAGGCTTTCAAAGCAAAACTAGAATTTGAATAAAAGCAACATGTGGACAAAAGCTAATACAAGAAAATAGCACCTAATATGGCAGACTTTCTAACAAATCCTTGAAAATTGTACTAATAACCCGGATATGAAAAAAATGATTCAAATCTTCTTTAAGATACTATTATGTAGCAAAAGGTTAGATATTTTTGCCACGAAAGGGGGTTGAGGCCATAAACTTATTGAAAATCCTCTCTGAATCTTTCAGAGATTCATATTATCCTACTGGATTGCCTGCATGCATGGAGATCTGATGCCAATACTTTAAAATAATTTAATTCCTACCTCACAAATAGTTTCCAAAAGTTGATACTGAAAGATTCTGTAGTATGATTACTGAACACGAGATCATCAGAGACAGATGGTATACACTAGGCTGGTTGGATAGAGGGCAGGACCAACCCAGCTGAAGTCCCAGGTTCAACTTACACACTCTCTCCCTTTCTCTACCTGTTCAAGGGTATAGATGTTTGGGTTTACATGCACATATCTATGCATATATTCTCATTAGAGGACTGCACCTAATTGATCTTGGCTGATCTTGAAAAGCTAAGCAGGGTTGGACTAACCAAACAAAGGCAGTGGCAAACCACTTCTGTACTGTTGACAAAAAAGCTATATGGACAATACTGAACTCATAGAAGTCAGGCTCAACTGAGACTTTATTTCACATAGCCCCAGGGAAACATTTGAACAAAAGTGAGAAGAGCAATGAATGTTATAAATCATACTTATACAATGCAGAGAGAGAGGGAGAGAGAGAGGTGATCATAGGTGGACACTGTCCCATCTGTCCATATCCATCAGCCATCACTGGGTTTAAGGGACTAAAAGAAAAACAAACAAATTGAATTAACTTTCATTTAATTCAGTTGAAGGAAAGCATTCCTTGGAGACCAATGATAAATGTATCTGCTGTATCAAGCATTTAGGCTTTCATGTTGCTTCTTCAATCCTGTGGCCTATTCCAGATTGTCTACAAAGTTTCACAAAGTTCTATCAAATTTTGTAATGGTAGAGAAATACTCAGCTGATACTGCTTGAACGTAACTTTTTCTTGCAATGTTGCTCTTCCAACTCATCTTTTGTAAGCCATTGGAATGTTGACAAAACATGGACACTAGACTCTCAAACTGCATTCAAAAAGGAAATTCCCCTCATCAATGAGGGATTGCTCTAAAACCAGAGAATGTTCAGGCCATCATCTACATGACATCCCAAACACAGTGATTCCTAAGAAGTTTTACCAATTATTTGATTGGTAACTTGCAATCATGGCTCATTTAAGTAGATCAGGTCAGCCTATACTGGGTTATTCTGTTTCATCTTTACAACAGTTCTTCAAACCAAATTAGAGTAATTCAAAACTATCAAGCGAACTAAGCGGATAATAAAGATTTGATACCAGATTCCCAGGTCAGTTCCATTCCTGTGTCCTCTTCACTCTGATAGCATTCATCTTTTTTCCTATAAATAAATGTGTAGATAGGACCTTCTTCCAGGTTGGTGCCAGATTACCAAAATGTTCACATCAGGGACAAAGGGAGAGGATTATTTGTATATCCCTTTTACTCATCTCTAAGATTACAGTAGGCTATATAAACAAACCAGTCTTAAGGGATGTTGCTTTTCTATACACTGAATACTGGAAGAATTACTATCAAAATGTTGCTCCAAAACAAAATCACAGACCATGATTTCATGCCAGCATTATAGGCTGATATCCTGCTGCAAGCGCTTAGGAGCAAGTTGACAAAATGCAGCATGAAACTCAAGTTATTGTTATCATGAAAGCACTGGCTTGGCATTTTAACACAAATTGCACTGCCAAGCAAAAGCCTGAAACCCTCAGCTCATTGAAAATAAAAGGATAACAGGATAATTCACAACCCAAATAACTGAGATATGTGCTACATGGTATGCATGAATCAGCCATAGAACTTGGAAGCTTATTTCAGTTGATGTTATCCTGGTATACATCAGAAAAGCCATTAATTTTGTTATTCCCATTTTATTAAGTTAAAACTGAGCTAGTTTAATTACAACCCCTACAATCTTCTTGTGTGTCAATTTTTGCACTGTGTAAGATTGGACGTCACAGAGAGCAACAAAATTACCAGAAAGAGCAGAAGTGTTGTTCTGCAAAATCAGAGTGCATCTGAAGACTTCCAAGAACTCATGAGGGTCACTTCATGTTATAATATCAGTACAGAGTATTGCATTTAGCACAAATGCAGACATTGCAAGTGCTAATATGCTTCCTGATATGTATTTTAACAATATATTACAGTAGAACTCAGTGAGAATATAGGGGGTGGAAGGTGAGGATTGAAATTACTGCTGGTAACTTGCTTTTTGTTCAGCGTAAGTGCTGTAGATCTCAGCAGTCAGGAAAAGCTTCTCAGCAAGAAGATATTGTTATAGCAGAACCACAGAGGGTTGAACACAATTCTCAATTTGCAGGCAAATGGATGTATTGTGTTGGGGTTTAGCAGTAGGAGACTGCAGAAGTATGATTCACAATCCAGCAGTATTCTCTTACCTAGATTTGTAGCTAGGCATAAGGACCTTCACCTGAGGGAGGAAGGAAGCCTCAGCATAAGGCATTCATGTCCTTGAATACATTTCTCAAGAATGTCTGCATTCTGTCATGGTCTTAGATGCAAGCACAATGTTGTATTTTTCTGGAAGGAAGACTAGTTCTTTCCCAAATAAATTACCTTAAAATGCGAACATCATCTTTCATGTTCTGAGACTACGGTAACAGAGGCAGAACGGTTTTTTTCCCTTTCTAATCTTCCTTTTCTGGGATTGGCTTCCCTCTGGGTAAATACGATAGTTGAATAATTAGATAAAAATGTAATAATGTTGGGAGAGGAAAAGGGATACCTACACAAAGTAACGTTAATGGTGCTGCCATTATTATTATTTAAATATCTTCATTGAATATCCTACCATTGGTGCTATACAAAATTGTAAAAATGACAACATCTCTGATCAGATTTTATAGTGCAAGTAACATTTTCAGGTCCATGGTGAGAGGAAGGGATAGCCCCCAAGAAACTAGCTTTACCAGCTTCTGGGGGTTAAGGCTAGTGAGAAGACTATGGCCACTTCATTATGTTAACCTACTCAAAATACATAAATTAATGAATCTTTCCCTACTTTAAATCCTCCAGATATGTTGGCTATCAACTATACAGGGTCTTCTGAGCTGTAAATGCCACCACCTGTCAATTAGATCCATGCTCCTTCTGGCTGGTTAAGGCAGCTTGGGAGGTGACGTGTGGGTGGGTCAAGGCAATGGTGAATTCATCTTTGAGAGGGGGAGTGTTTCCAGCGGCCTTTAAAGAGGCACTGGTACATCCCCTCCTCAAGAAACCATCACTGGATCCCACCGTACTGGACAATTTTCATCGAGTCTCCCACCTCCCCTTTTTAGGGAAGGTGGTTGAGAAGGCGGTGGCGTTGCAGCTCTAGAGGATCCTGAATGAAACGGATTATCTGGAACCTTTTCAGTTGGGTTTCAGGCCCGGATTTGGGACTGAAACACCATTGGTTGCACTTTTGGATGATATCTGGTGGGAGCGGGATGGGAGTAGTGCATCCATCCTTGCTCTTCTTGACCTCTCAGTGGCTTTTGATACCATCGACCATGCTATCCTTTTGAGTCGGCTTGGGGATTTGGGGTGGGTGGCACAGTTTTGTGCTGGTTCACCTCCTTCCTCCAAGGCCGGTCCCAATCAGTGTTGATAGGGAGTGAGAGGTCCAGCCTGCGGGGTGCCACAGGGTTCGGTATTTTCCCCGCTCCTTTTTAACATCTACATGAAACCACTGGGCGAGATCATCCACCACCATGGGATGAGG